AGGTAGCTCCCTCTCTTGTTTCTGATGCCAAGTAATGTTTTACCCTCTGACCGTTTACCACAAAACCTTGTCCATCTTTTCCTTTTAACACGACGGCTCCATAAGGTCTTACTTCAAGAATTGTGAACGGACCGGACCACTTAGACCTCAGCTTCCCAGGGAATAGCTTAAGCCTCGAGTTAAACAACAGAACTTGGTCCCCTTCTTTGAACTCTCTCTTGTGTATCTTCTTGTCATGGAGCGCCTTGGTCTTTTCCTTGTAAAATTTAGAGCTCTCAAAAGCGTCTAAACGGATCTCCTCAAGCTCGTGAAGCAGTAAAACCCTCTTCTCTTGTGCGGTCTTGATGTCAAAGTTCAGAAGTTTCACTGCCCAAAGAGCTTTGTACTCCAACTTAACCGGTAAATGACAGCTTTTCCCATAGAGCAAGTTAAACGGTGAGGTTCCAATGGGGGTCTTGTACGCGGTTCTGTAAGCCCACAAAGCATCATCAAGTTTCTTGCTCCAATCCTTCCTAGATGAGCTCACGGTTCTCTCCAAAATGGCCTTTATTTGACGGTTAGAGACCTCCACTTGGCCGCTGGTTTGCGGATGATAAGGGCTTGCCACCTTGTGCTTCACTCCGTGCTTCTTCAAAAGACTTTCAAGAGTCTTGTTGATGAAATGGCTTCCCCCATCACTGATAACTACTCTTGGGACTCCAAACCGTGGGAAAATGATACTCTTAAAGAGTTTTACCACCACTTTTGAATCGTTGGTAGGAGATGCGACCGCTTCAACCCATTTACTCACATAGTCCACCGCGACAAGGATATACTGGTTCCCGTATGAGCTTACAAAGGGACCCATGAAGTCAATGCCCCAACAGTCGAATACCTCTACTTCAAAGATTGGGTTTTGAGGCATTTCATTCCTCTTGGATATGTTACCGTGCCTTTGACAATCTTCACACCTTGAGACTACATCTTGAGCGTCCTTGAACATAGTCGGCCACCAGAAACCGCTTTGTAAAACCTTGTCTACCGTCTTGAACGCACCTAAGTGACCACCATACGATGAACCGGATGGATCTCTTCTTCGGCCAAGCATCGCCTATAGAGATGGTCCTTGTTAAGCACGTAAAGATATGGTTCATCCCAATGATATCTCATCACATCTCTTCTTCCTCTGATAAGTATCAAGATCTGGTGGCTCTAAACCGCATGACAAGTAGTTCACTAGATCCGCGAACCATGGGAGTCTTCTTTCGTTGATCGTGTTGGCCTCCTCCACTTCTAAGTAGGACCTGACTAGCATGAGGGTTTCCTCTGGTAAAGCATCATCTATGGGGACCTGTTCTTCAATTCTCAGCCTCGAGAGATGGTCTGCGGCCCCGTTTTCAATGCCCTTCTTATCAAGTATCTCCATGTAAAATTCTTGGAGCAATAAGACCCATCTCAACAGCCTCGGCTTAGCGTCCTTCTTAGACATCAGATACCTCAAGGCCGCATGATCTGTGTAAACCGTGACCTTTGATCCCACAAGATAACTCCTGAATTTATCAAATGCAAACACAATGGCAAGCATTTCCTTCTCGGTGGTGGCATACTTTTCTTGAGGCGAATCCAAGGTGCGGCTTGCATAGTAGATCACATGGAGCTTCTTATCTTTCTTCTGCCCCAAGACAGCTCCCACAGCATAATCAGATGCATCAGTCATTACTTCGAATGGTAAAGACCAATCAGGGGCTTGTACAATCGGTGCACTGATCAAAGCTTCCTTGATTCTCTTAAACGCTTCCTCACACTCTTCATCAAAGACAAACTCCACTTCTTTGCACAATAGCCTAGTTAAGGGTCTATCTATCTTGGAGAAATCTTTAATAAACCGCCTATAGAACCCTGCATGGCCAAGGAAGCTTCTTATCCCTTTTACCGAGTTCGGAGCTTGTAGGTTTATCATCACCTCGATCTTAGCCTTGTCTACCTCAATGCCCTTCTCTGATACCTTGTGTCCCAAGACAATGCCTTCTTGGACCATGAAATGGCACTTCTCCCAGTTCAAGACAAGCCTATGCTCCTCACACCGCTTAAGAACCTGAGATAGATTAGCAAGACATTCGGAGAAAGAGGAGCCGTATAGGGAGAAATCATCCATAAACATCTCAACTTTCTCTTCAATTAGATCAGAGAAAATGTGCATCATACATCTTTGAAAAGTGGTCGGTGCATTACATAAACCAAAAGGCATTCTCCTATAGGCATAAGTGCCATAAGGACAGGTGAATGTCGTTTTCTCTTGATCTCGGGGGTCTATAGGTATTTGAAAGAACCCCGAGTATCCATCGAGAAAACAGAAATAAGGATGATTAGCTAGCCGTTAAAGCATTTGATCAATGAATGGTAAAGGAAAATGATATTTTCTTGATGCAGAATTCAATTTCCTATAGTCAATGCACATGCGATGGCCGGTTATAGTTCTTTGGGCTATGAGTTCATCCTTATCGTTTTTCACCACCGTGATCCCACCTTTCTTGGGCACAACATGTACAGGAGATACCCACCGAGAGTCAGAGATTGGATATATTATCCCTGCCTCAAGGAGCTTTAGTATCTCCTTCTTAACCACCTCTTTAAGGTTCGGGTTAAGGTGACATTGGTGCTCAATAGAGGACATAGCTTGGTCCTCTAGGTGGATCCTGTGGGTGCATATATCAGGAGAGATCCCTCTAATATCAGCCAAAGAATACCCTATGGCTCTTTTGAATTTTCTCACTTCACTAAGCAATGCACGCTCTTCATGTTCAAGGAAGCTATCGTTAATGATCACGGGATAAGTGGAGTTTAGACCTAAGAAAGCATACCTGAGCCCTGTTGGTAGAGGCTTGAGCTCAACAGGGGGTGCATCAGCCTCATTCCAATCGGCATCAAAGCTGCATTGGCTCGGAACAGCTTCCTCGGCCTTTTCCTTGTTCTCGCGTGGTATACCATCGGCCTCGGCATAAGTTGTAACGGCAATGATATCCCGAGGCGTCTCCTCTATACCCTTGGACCCCTCGCTGTCTAAAATGTCGAGGCCACTCTTCTTGAGCTGGAGAAACCTCGTCTCGGCTCCAAGTTCCCTCAGTTGATCCAAAAAACGCTTGTACACCTCGCTTTCCTCGTTCAAGTACCCGTGCTCGCTTTGTTCCTGTGTTAAGACCACTTGTAACGGGTCTTCTGCGTTTAATTCTTCAAGGAGCTCATCAGCTAGCTCCTCCATAACCTCCACATAGAAAACCTGACCTCCAATGGTCGGTTTCTTCATCATTTCCTTCACATTGAACTTCATAGTCTCAGAACCGATGTGTAGTTCAATCATACCCCCTCTCACATCGATTATTGCTCCAGCGGTTGCCAAGAACGGTCGGCCCAAGATGATGGGGTCTAGTGGTTCCTCGTCCATTTCAAGAACTATGAAGTCCGTGGGGATTTCTATCTCACCGATTCTCAAAGGAAAATCTTCAAGCAACCCCACCGGTAGTCTAACCGATCTATCAGCTAATACAAGAGAGATCTTGGCCGGCTTGTAACTTTTGTATCCCGGTCTCTTGGCCACCGTGTAAGGCATTAAGCTCACAGAAGCTCCTAGATCACATAGCCAGTTTGAGAACTTCAAGTGACCTAAAGCACACGGTAAAGTAAAGCTGCCCGGATCGGATAGCTTTCTTGGTATAGATCTTCTTTGTATTATAGCGCTGCACTCATGGCTTAGTATTACCATACCCTGGAGCTCCTTTGTCTTATTGAGGATCACATCTTTTAGAAACTTTCCAAGCTGTGGTATAGCTAAGAAAGCGTCTATGATGGGTAAGGTAAGTTGCGTGTTCTCCAAGTGTTTCTCAAAGACCGCCTTGGCTTTGTCTAGGATTTTCTTTTTGAAACGCCCTGGGAATGGTATCTTGGGTTGGTAAGGTGGTGGTAGGACGTAAGGCTTTTCAATCTCAGTTGTCTTCTCCACCTCTTTTCCTTTGTCTTTAACCGGTTCCTTCTCTAAAACCTGGGTTTTATGCGCATCATTTGAGGCTGTCTCCCCCTCTAGTTGCTCATTGGCCTCAATGAGCTTTGTCTTAGGCGTTGGAGCTTGTAATTCTTTACCACTCCTCAATGTGATAGCGTTCACATACTCCTTGGGGTTTGGCTCCGGTTTACCTGGTAAAGCCGGGCCTCTTGATGATGTAGAGGCTTGGTTTTGCTTAAGCTCTCTGATATCTTGCTGCATTGTTGCGTGCTGGCTCTCCACTCGCTGCTGACCCTGTAACAGTTGCTGTAGAATCCCACAGACATCGGTTCCCATCTGATTCTGACCCGTTCCCTGAATCTGTTGCTGATTACCCATCGGCTGTGGATTGAACCCTGGTGGAAACTTCTGTTGCTGCGGTTGGCTGTTGAAGTTGTTACCCTGAGCCGCTTGATTCTGCTGAGTGTAGCCGTGCTGTTGCCCACTGAACTGTTGCTTGGGCTGGAAGGTATTCTGAAAAGGGGCTTTTTGAGCATAGCTTTTTTGTTGTTGTTGAGCAGGGTACACTTGGTCTTGAGGGTTAGCTACATTCGGGTTTCTATAAGAGAGGTTTAGGTTATTGCTGTAGTTGTTAAACCTCTGATACCTCTGTTGATTCCCTATGTAGTTCAGCTCCTCTTGAGTTAGACCATCTTCATTAACATTGTCAAAACTTGGCCCTTGCTCATCAAACTCGCCTACAAAGTGTATTGGCTTTTGAGTCGCCATTAAAACCTTGTCAAGTTTGCTCTGAAGCTCTCTTATATCCTTCTTCATGCGCTGTTCATCACTAGATCCCTCTGAACAGTTTGCTCTATCAAAATCCTCTCCATACGTGTCATTAGACATGGCTAGGTTTTCTACTAGTTCCATTGCCGCATTGATCTCTTTCCCAAGAAAATTTCCGTTTGAAGCTGTATCGAGTTGGTTTCTGATCTTGGGGAGTGCACCTCGGTATAAAGTACTCAAGAGGGATGCCTCTGAGAAGCCGTGGTGTGGGCATTGGTTAGTATAACACCTAAACCGTTCCCAAGCTTCACTAAAACTCTCGTTGTTGTGTTGCGTGAAACTTGAGATCTGATTCCTGAGCTTAGCCGTGCGTGATGTGGAAAAGAACTTTGATAAGAACGCCAGTTTACAATGCTCCCATGTTTGTATAGAACCCCTCGGGAGGTTCTTTTCCCACTGGTGAGCTTTATCACCGAGGCTGAATGGGAACAAGCGTAGCTTGAAGCTATCTTCTGAGACGCCATTGATCTTGGTTAAGTCGCAAACTCGATCAAACTGATCGAGATGCTCGAGAGGATCTTCTCCGGCTAGACCGTGAAACTTGGAGCTCTGCACCATATTGAGCAGGGAAGCTTTAACCTCAAAGTTGTTATTTTGAACCGGTGGAGCTTGAATCCCGGCTCTATATTGGTGCGCATTAGCTCGGTCGTTCTCTCCAACAAAGACCGGAGGAGGTTGTCTCTGAGCGGGTGGCGGTGGCGGATGAACATGATGGGCTTGTTGCTCATTTCTATTCGCTTGATGTTGGTTTTGCTGAGCAAGTCGTTCGTTTCTCTGAGCCTGTTGTTGGTTAACATAGGCTTGTTGTTCATTTCTTCCTGCCTGCACCTGATTAGCCTGAGCCTGGTCCTCGGCATCTTGAGCCTGTTGCTCGATCCTCTGCTGTTCTGCCATTCCAAGTCTTTCAAAGTGCCGTTCTCTCTCGCGAGCTCGCCTCTCAATCCTGTTAATGTTATTGTCGTATGGTAAAGGCGGTTCTGTGCTGCGAGACCTAGTTTTCATGCACCTGAAATCAAAACAGGAACTTGCAAAAGAGTCAGTAAAACAAAAGAAAGTAAAGTCTTGATCTTAAGAACAAATAAGAGACTAATGCTACCACAAGTTGGCAACGGCGCCAATTGATAACTAAGGGTTTTCACCCTTTGTAGAGGTTATCAATACCCCTGTCCTTGTAGTACAAGGGGTTATCAAACCAAACTTGTAGTGGAGACACTAATCTATGTTACTTATGATCTTAAGTCAAGAGAGAATGATTAGGGTTTTAGCTAAACTAATTAACAAGTGAATAAGCATAAAAATGAAACAAAAGATGAGATTTGAACTAAGTAAAGATGCAAATGACAAGCAAATGGTTCGGATGATGATAATATATGATAAAGGCAGAAGCTTTAGACAGGATATTTGACTCGGGTGGTTCCAAGCTAAACTAATAGGTTAATGAATCATTTTATCAAGCGATTTCATTTAACTTTGAACTCAAGGCATGTTAATCTTCTCATGAAAGTATTAAACATCTAAACTGATCCTCTTTCATACCAAAATCCCTTTTGAGAAGCACGAATCAGTCAGCAATAAGATTCAGTTCAAAAATGTCATTTAAGAGAACAAACAATCACTCTCGCGATGAAAGACTCTTAAACCCTTAACCGAGTGGTTCAGACATTTCTACAAACACTTTTGATGCGAGATATGTCTCAGATCTGAACCTCAAGTGATGTGCTTGGAACCAGCCTAGAGATCTCATCGGTTAAGGAATGAAACATGCAATACTAGACACCTAAACCCATTAATCTATCTTGAAAGCACCCTAATCTACCTATTTAAAGTCGCTTAAACGACTACTCACTGATCATAACGAGCTCACTAAGTCCTTTGCAAGACGTGTAGCTAGTCATGATAAGGAGTTTAATGCTGGATGATAAAAGAAATAAAGAAAGAACAAGATTCTGATGCAAAAGCGAGATATCGGATTAGATTAATCAAGTTTCACAAAAGAGGCAAGTTCTTCAAGCTAAAAGATGATAAGAGATCCCCTCCCTAGGTTTTTGGTCCTAAAATGTATTTATAGCAAAGGGAAAGTGTCGCGGGTCAGCCCGGAACAAACCGGGTACTGAGCCGCCTTCTTGGGTTGATGGGTGAGTGCCACGGTGTGTCGGAGAGTGAAGCCGAGGCCTTGATGTCGAGGAGTGCACGTGAGCCAAGATCCAAATGGAGATCTCGTGAAGAACACGTCAAGAACATGCACGAACCCTAGTCTTTGATCCATCTTCATGTGTGTGTTCTTGAGCCGTCTTGTTCTTGATTCTAGGGTTGTGACAAGGGACCTCGCCATAGAATGTCACAGGGCTTGGTAGTCGAGGGGTTTGGGAGAACAGAGTCCGGCATGCACGCATTGGCACGAGGTCTTGACTTGAGCAATGTCGAGGCATTGGCACGATGTCTAGTCCAAAATACTCACAAGATATGAGCCTTGACTTGAGCAATGGCGAGGTAACGATGCCGAGGCCTGAGAAAATACTTAACGCGTATCGCAACTCATTTAGGCTCGTATCGACCATATTGCCTTCCGGAAGCAGTAACTTTCATCACACGACTCCAATTGCTCTGAGAGCAGTTCCACAGTCAAGATGACTCAATAAGCTCGAACTTTGGTGAAGAAACCGTCGGAGCTTGGGAAGTGGAAGGCTTCCTGGATTTCACATCTTTGCACCGCATTGGAATCACCGGAAAATAAGCTTTTGGACCGATGTGAACTCCGGAGACCTTATCTTTCAAACCATTGCTCTGAATTGAGTGATTCCAAGCGTTCTGAGAAGATCTTTCACAGATCTAAAACTTTGATGAAGATCGGGCAGGTTAGTTCGGACCGGAAAGGCTCCGTCCTTCGTGATCTTTGAAGTCCGCTGTTCGGTTCTCGAGTACGCGCAGTACTGGTGCATCTTCCGGAAGCCGTATCTTTCACCTCACCGGTCCGAATTGGATGAATCCAACTGTTCCGGGATCTTTGATTGATTATCTCCAACTTTGATGAAGACCCCGCCAACTTATTCGGACCGGAAGGTTCCCCGGATTGCCGATCTTTGAAACGCGCGGGTAAGGACAGGTTTTGGCCGAGAAAAGCTTCCCGCGGTAAGAAAAATGGCCGAGGGCTATGTACCGCGGTAAGCTTTTTGACCGAGGTTTCTGTCCAGCCGGTACGAGTTTTGGCCGAGAAATTCCTCCAAGCGGTTTTCACCATTTTTGACGCTTTTCTTCACCGTTTTCTTTTCAGCTCCTCTTCTTAAGCTCCAAATGGCTTCCAAAGCACCTGATAAAGACTTCAAAACATGCAAAACTCTTTGGGACCTATTGCAAGCCCTAAATCCTATTTTGATGCCTAAAGACTCAATTTACATGGGAAAAGACATGATGAGGACTCTAAAATGCAATCTAAATGATGCAAAATATAGACATATCAAAAAGCTAATGGAGTTCAACAACGTAGTCAGGTCATTCCCTGCTCACCTAACCTTTGATGAAATCTGGAAGCTTGGTCGTTTGCAAGTCTTTTTCAGGTCCTGCAAGGAGTCTAAAGAGGATATCCATAGACACTTTATGCGAGTTCGATACATGACAACACCAGAAGCAGCTGGCTATGCGATTCACCTCAAAAAGCCTGAAGACTGCAGCCACTACACCAACAAAATCAGCAAAGAAAAGCTCGATGAATTCAATGAAGTAGTCCAAAATTTGCCTGAAGGAATCACCTTTGCCAAAGCTTGCAAGGACTTCATGATAGGCCACTACTTCTGTGAGAGCAAGGAATCAATCCCTGAGATAGAAGACTTGTTCAACCATGCAAGAAGAGGTAAACCTGTTCGAACACTTCACAAAATCGAAGGTGTAGGTCAGTTTCTTATCTCTTGTTCTATTAGAGGAGAAATGTTTTAAAACGTGCTTTGTAATTCTGGAGCTTGTCTTAACATGATGTCCAAGGCAATTTCTTTGACCCTTGGTATTAAACACCTGCGCAGGACTAGAGCAAAGATTAGTCTAGCTGATGATTCCAATGCAACACCTCAAGGAATAGCTCATGAAATTCCTTTGAGAATAGGAGATTGCATAGTGTCTGTCGACTTCTACATTGTCGAGACGAGAGATGCAACATATCCAGTGATTCTTGGATGGTCTTTTCTAGCAACTTCCGGAGATATAATGGACTGGCCAAACAGGAGGATTTCATTTGCTAATATCGACAAAGATGTCTTCACAGAAGCTGTCCCATACAACAGCAAAGCAGGAAAACGTTCTGCAACAGAAGAGTTTGAAGAAGAACTTTGGAGTGACGAAGAACCTGCTAGGCAAAGCAAGGAGATGTCGAAAAAGACTTGTCTCAGGACAAGGTCTTCTTAATTGGACTAAGCCACGTCCAACACCAAAAGTCGAGCTAAACGTCTTAAAACAGAAGCGCTTAATGGGAGGCAACCGATTTAGGTATTGTTTTCTTTAGGATTTTTCTTTCTTTTTCTACTGATCTTTTTCTTTTTCTTAGTTTCAGGTGTTTCTTATAAAACAAAAAAACCAAAAAAATCGACAAACCCAAAAAAAAACCAAAAAGAAGGATGGTCCCTGACTGCTCGGCCCAGCAGGAACCAAGGAGAAGCAGGAAAAGGCCGCAAGATAAGCTCCCACGGTCGCAGGTGTTATGACCGCGGGAGACACCCCTTCGACCGCGGTCGCGTCTTTCTGACCGCGGCCGAGGACCAGTTTGCCGCGGTCGCGTGGCTCCTGACCGCGGCAAATGGTCGTTGAAATCAAACCCGACCCCAAACCACCCACTTCACCTCTTTCCACCTCACCAATCCCCACTCCACCTCATTCATCACTTTCCACCACCTTCATCACCACCTATCACCTTCCCAAACCTCTTCGAATGAATCCGGTTCATCTCCACCAGCATCCCAGATCCAGGTAAGTTCTCTTTGGCCTTACCAATTCGATTATCTATGCATTTTCCTCATCCAATCTTGATTTGTTTCACACTGAGGACAGTGTGATTTAAGTCTGGGGGAGGATTTCATCCCTTTCTAACCACTTTTCTTTCATGAGTCTTGCATTATCTACACTTTTTGCATTTTCCTTAAAGTTTTTCAAAATCTGTTTTCAAAACAAAATACGTTTTAAAGGGAATAGTGAACGTGAATCAATGATAGTTGACTGTGTGCTTTTAGACTGTTCCTAGTGACATGCTCATTCATGATTTAGGACTACACTAGGCGGTAGCTAAGCACATTTAAAACAAAGTACCCTAGAGGAATTTGAAT